TCCTGCAGTCCGTGCATACCGGTAACATCGTTCCCCTTTCCCTTCCCTCTTCTCCATTGAGGGCAATGTCGATCTTAAGTGTGGGGGGATGTTTATCTTTTGACTGCATTAGATCTGTTTGTGTGCTTGGAGCCTAGTCCACTGTCCAAATTTTTAAATTTGAGGGCTCTAAGTACGTGTTCCTTGCAATTGCCTGCTCAGTATGCTTTGAATTGACAGTCTCTATAGTAATATGCAACCTAGGGAGGTAGTGTAGCACTATGGAGGATGTTGATGCATTTAAGAAGTCTCATTTCTTCTTCATATTGTGTTGGTTGATTGAGTGAATTAGTGATCTTAGGACCCTTGAATTGTGTGGTGTTGTGGATTCTCTACCTGTCATGGACTCTTGTATCATGTTTTGAGTTTAACAGGTGCTCGAAAATGGGCTTCAACATAATGTCTCCCGTGCGAATAGGGCGAAAGTGTGTAAAGGGAGACGGGAATTCGTTCCCAATTTCCACCTACTACCTCCAGCCCCCTTACATGTCTTTCCCCCGCACGAGGCTCGAGACATCCGCTCCTGGCATGGCCGGTAAGAGCAGGTTGGGACCCTTGAAAGAAAAAAAAGAAAAAAAATAACAGAAAACAAGCAAAACAGAAAGAAAAGGGGTTCCAACCATCTTCAAGAAGAAAATAGAGCACCTTGAAAAAAATGAGTCCATGATCCTTTGTTTTTGAGAATCTCTTCATCCACGATTCATTTGTCCTCTGTTCACTATTTGCCATGATGCCGACTCTCGGCGAAGAAGCTATGAGATGACTTGTGCGTCGATTGACCTCGTAAGTTGCTAAATGATCTAGGAAGTCCTCTACCTACAATCTGGGTTGTTTGTCGCTATAGAGGTCTGGAGAGTGCATTGGTTTGAGTTAGGTTTGCTTGGGGACAAGCAAACGGTTAAGTGTGGGGGAATTTGATAACGATGTAATTGCACGTATTTGCACCCCTAATTCTTATCCGTTTGATAGGCATAGTCGTGTATTTTGGCCTATTTTACGCCAGGTTGTGCTATTTTGTCATATTTCAGGTCCCAGGCGTCAAAGGGAAGGCTAAGCACGAGTTTCGGGGCATTCGGAAGTCATTTCATCGAGCTGGAGCCAAAACACGGGCACACCTAAAACACAACTCGGCCGTGCTTTTACTGCCGAGAGCTAATTCGAGTTTGGCAAACATGAGCTGATTACACGGGCAGGGCTGAGAAATTACACGGCCGTGTTTCAAAAAAGCACGGCCGTGTCCACCCAAAAGCACGGCCGTGTTTCTCCCAACACATGGCCGTGTTTCTCCCAACACATGGCCGTGTAATTAACCCTAGCCAAAGCACGGGCGGGCTGAGGCATTACACGGCCGTGCCCTCGACCGTGCTTTGGCCACTGATGCCCTTTTTAAGCAGATTTTCAGCCAAACAGAAAGGGATTCGAGTTTTTGAGAGAGAGAACGATTCCTCGAGAGAGAAAGCAACGAACAAGAGTCTCCAAGTGCCCTAGATTGATCTTCAACACCATTGAAGGCCAGCTTGAGCTTGGAGAAGTGCCGATCAACGTCCAGGAGCAGGAATCCATCCTTCACAGTATGAATTCCGCGTCTGATTCTGCTTTTGCTTCTTTCTCCATGGAGTAGTTCTCCCATTCATCTGGGTATGGAGAACCCTAGATTTGTATGTTAGGTTTGATTGTATGAACCCAAGTACTGATTCTATGAGTTGATTATATTCAATTGAGGTTTGATTGATTGAATGGCATGAATCCTGATCAAATTCCTGTTGTTTCTGCTTTAACCTAGAATGAGCACTGCAATGCCATCACAACCAGTAGTGAAGGAGTATATCCCTCAACTCCCCTTCCCTACTCGGTTGCACAAAGACAGGCTAGAGGCAGAGTTCGGGAACTTGATGGCCATGCTTAGGAAGCTGAATGTCCAAGTACCTTTCCTGGAGGCACTATCTCAAATGCCTAAGTACTGGGAAACTCAGCAAAGCAGAAGCTGGCGACTGTGGAGCTCAGCGAGGAGTGCTCGGCTATTCTGCAGAACAAGCTTCCGCAGAAGCAGAAGGACCCAGGTAGTTTTACTATCCCGTGCTCTATAGATAAATTGCATGTAGAGAGGTCCTTGGCGGATTTAGGTGCTAGTATCAATGTTATGCCGTATAAATTGTTCAAGAAACTAGACCTAGGTGAACCCCGTGCTACTAGGATGAGCCTTCAATTAGCTGACCGATCTGTAGTGCATCCTAGGGGCATAGTGGAAGACCTTCTGGTTAAGGTTGGCAAATTCAATTATCCTGTGGATTTTGTTGTCTTGGACATCAATGAGGACACAGAAGTGCCCCTTATACTGGGAAGGCCTTTCCTGGCCACCGCCAAGGCTCTCATAGATGTGCATGATGGGACCTTAGTTTTGAGGGATGGCGAGGAGCGAATAACGTTTTCAATTGCTAATACTCTCCCTGCTTCGTTACCTCTGCATGTTGTATCTCACCAGGAGCACGAGTCTGTCGTGTATCCTTCTGTGTTTCCTATTTTGTAGGATCCGCCTCCCATACCTTCGCCGCCACTCCCGTCCACTCCGTCACCAAAAGAACAGATCAAGGAGGAGTGGTGGCCAAAACTGCAGGCAGCTAAGCCTGCTCGAAAGAAAGTCGGAGACCACTACGAGCTGGTCCCGCCCCCACCTTGGCCATCCGAGTATTCACTCGCTTGCATCCTGCCGGATGGCCAAGTCGAGTTGGCGAATGTTGGTGGCCACATTCGTCGTGTGCGCCATGGCCACCATTTGAAGCTGTACCTCAAGAGCGAGGTGGATCCGCTCTTGAAGGCACCCGCGCCTACACCTCTCTGAGGATTCACCTACTGGCGTCTAGCTAAAAGACGGTAAAGAAGCGCTTGTGGGGAGGCAACCCCACCTAGGTTTGCATTTTCTTCCCTTTTTCCTTTTGATTTTTTGTGTTTTTGAGTCTTGAGGGGTTGTTCACGAGTTGTATGTCGTTCTGGAGTGAAAACAGGTCAATTTCGGAGTCCTGGCAGCCCACACGGCCAGGCCTGAAAGTCACACGGCCGTGTGGAATTGGATTTTGGCCGTGTGTGCTCTCGTGAATTTCCACACGGCCAGTTGTGATTGTGACACGGCCGTGTGGATTTTGCCCCAGCCCGTGTGAGCTCTCGCTATTTTTTCACACGGCCAGGTGTGCTTTGCACACGGCCGTGTTGAAATCCTCGGCCTGCCCGTGTCGGCTGACACGGGCACATGTGCACCTCACACGGCCGTGTGAGCCTGCCCGTGTGGCCAAGCCACGGGCTATAAATTCGGCCGACATGGCCAAGTGGTTAGAAAATCCAAATTCTCTCGCCGGAAACCTCTCCCCCTCGCTGGAAAACTACGCCTTTTTGCCATCCTTGTCAATTTTCGGCCATTTTTGGTCGGTTTTTCACAAATCCAACACCTCACCCACCCTTTCCTCCCCATTATCGGCCTATCCCTCGATTTTGAGGTGATTTGGCTTGATTTTGAGTGGCCAGAGGCGATTTCCGGCGAGACTCCGGCGAGGCTCCGACGAGCACTTCCGCGCAGTTTTTCGGCCTTTCGTCGCTTCCATTGCCTTCCCCTCATCATCCCCTACACCTCTACTTGAGTCTCCAGGTTTGATTTTGACCTTAACTATGTTATTTATGGAGAATTGGGTGTTAGGGTGCATGTTTAGAGAACCTCTTTGAATCATGTGAATTGTGTGCAATTGATTGAGGGGAATGCTTGGATTATGTATGAATTGTGTTGGGCATTGTCCCCCTTGCTTGTTTGAGCCCTTGTGTGCAAGAATTTTGTCAATTCCGTGTTTACCTTAATAGTGCACACAAGGTGTTCGATGAAATGACGGTTTTTGTACCATTTTGTGGGAGTCCGTTGGAGCCCTTAATGATGTGCTTTGAGGGTGTGTTTGCTATGGATGTGAACCTTGAGTTGCCTACTTTTCCATGGATGTGCAACCCCACCCGGATTATGCTTGATTGATTGAGTTTTTGACCCCCAAACTATGGATGAAACCATGGTTAGGCTGTTTTCTGTTCTTCAGTGTGGGGGTGTGATTAACATTTTTCTTGGCTCTCCTGGTTCCACTTTGGGTTGTTCTTTTGCAGGACCATGACGAAGCCCAACCTCAGGCACCCGTTTGTTCAAGATTTGAGAAGGGGGCCCCTCCAGGTCTGTTTTAAGAGCGTCCTGGCCTGCCAGTTTGGGCAGCATCATTGCTGGTCCAAGCTAGAGTTGGAGAAGCTGAACTGCTACGAGAACTTCTCCGCCATAGTCACAAATCGCCCCTGGCGCCGCCTACTCTGCATTCACGAGAAGGTCTACCACGAGCTCGTGCTTGAGTTCTACACGACCTTCAAGCACGCAGACACGGAGGATTGGAAGGATGGAGAAGCCGTCCAGTTCAGGCTCGGCGGTGAACCCCGATCCATGAGCTACAATGAGCTGGCGACCGCCCTCGGCCTCGGCCTGGTCGATGACAGAGACTACATCACCGAGCTCACAGAGCCAGAGGGGGTAGACTTCAGGACACTGTACACCCGCCTCGCTCGGCCAGGCCAGCGTCCCTTCTCGGCGGGGAAGACAGAGGCCAGCACATTGCAGCTCGACAACCGCATTCTCCATCACATGCTGGCCAAGTCTTACACTCCAGCCTCGGACAGTGCCATCGCCATCACCATGAGAGCCATGTACTTCATCCAGTCTATGCGCCAGAGGAATCATCCCCTCCACTTGGGTTCGGTGGTGGCGAGGACCTTCGCCAAGAGTGCTTCCGAGCTGAAGAAACTCCACTGCACCCCCTCATCACCTGCCTGGCAACCTACTTCCAGATATCCCTGCAGGGGTGCACAGAGCAGGGGGGGACACCAGTGCCTTTGGCGAGTTTACGATAAGTAAAATGAAGTTGCTTCGAGAGGAGCGAGGAGTTAAGTGGATCGAGGGGTTTCCTCAACCTCATATCCTAGAGGAGGTCCAGCCGGAGGCTCGTAAGGGTGTGGCTGATGAGGAGGTCCATCCCGAGGATGTGGATGAAACTGCTATCGCCCGCCCCACCACCTTCGAGTACAGGGGTGGCAGCTCCACTTTCCCCGGCCAGGACTACTTCAATCAGTAGTTCGAGCAGTGCGTCTCCAGAATCAGCAGCTCTACGACCATCAGCTCCAGTTTCAGCAGCAGTATTCGACTCACCATGCCGAGTACCAGACCCGGATGGCCGCTTGTGATGAGCGTCTGGATCGGATGGAGACCCAGCAGGGTGTGACCCTGGCTCGTATTGAGAGGGAGTAGGCCCGTTCTCGGCGCATGCAGGAAGTCCAGCAGCACCTGCTCCAGCTGCTACCGGGCGCGCAACCAGTCTGGAGGACTCCCTGGGAGGACTCTCCACTTCCACCTCCACCTGCTGATGATGATGATGCATTCATGAATGACATCGATTTGGACAACCTTGGCGTCGAGTAGGCTGTACTTGTCGCCCCTCAGTGTGTGTTTTTGTTTTAAACTTTTTTCTGTTTGCTCCATGTGTTTGAGGAGCTTGAACTGAGTTTGTCGTGTGTTTTGTTTCTTTTCTTTTGTGGATTGTTTCTTTTGTGGCCATCTGGTCCAACTCTGATCCCTAACGAACATGCGCTAGTGTGTTCTTGGTGTTCCCTTAGTGCAGAACTGTCTGTTCGTTCCATATGTCCCCCGCTGACTGGTCCACTTCCAGTCTCCCGCAGCATTTCAATCCGGTAACATCGTTCCCCTTTTGTATCCCTCTGCTCCATTGAGGGCAATGTCGTGCTTAAGTGTGTGTGGGGGGGGGGGTGCTTTGTATCGGTTGGAATTTATATATGTGTGCTTGGAGCCTAGTCCACTGTCCAAATCTCGAGATTTGAGGGCTCCAAGTACGGCTGTTTGATCATATTGCCACTATGTTTTGATTGGTGAATTGAATGGTTTTTGGATTGATGCATGACAACTGGATGGTGACTAGGAAAACCTATAATGATGACTGAGACGTGTAGTAGGATTGTGTAGGGGTTCAGTTTTTCAACTGTTTGCTTACCAACTGTGACTTGAATGGATCACTTGTTTTTTACAGTCTCTTATGCATCTAGTTCAGGGATCAGAATGAGAGATAGAGAATATAGGTAGCCATGTGAGATTTGAGCCTGCTCGTTTCTTTCTTGTGCGATAGTTCCCTCTTCCATGATGTGTAGCATTCACGTTGTCATTAGCTAAGATGATGGAGGCATAGGATTAGCCCACGACCAAATTGACTTTCCTGGTGTGTCATACCCCCTAGTCAGCCCCTTTGAGCCGTGTGTTATCCTTTCTTACGGTCTTCAATGAAAAGTCACCCTTTTGCATCTTTTAGAAGGTTCCACAGAGTGTTTTTTACATGTTCTCTGTTGTTTCTGCTAAATGTAATGTGAGGGTTGGAGGTAGTTCTTAAAAAGTTGGGCAGGTGTTTGAAAATGTGCAGAGGTGGTGGTTCTCTTAAGAAATGGAAAAATAAATGAAAGAAAAACAAAGAAAAAATGAAAGCAAAAGTGAGCCACCACAAAAAATCTGAATAGTGCCCATTAAGTAGTGTTTCTTAGCTGTCTGGCTTAGAAATACTGGTATTTATGTGACCTCCTTCGCTCTTGTTCTCTAACAAATTTGAGTAATGCAGAATAGCAGAAAGAAAGTACTAGTTTGACTGACTGTGAGTTTGTTGGGTGTGGAAATGTGGAACCTTGAGCTATGAATACTTCCACCACCTAAAAGGCCTTTTCCCCATGTCCAAGACCCTAGCCAGTCACTTGAACCTGTGTCTAAGACCTCCTGATTAGTTAGTGATGACAACCATTTATGTGAACTCTAACATTTAGAGGCTGCCGTCATGGTGAAGAGATGTTAGGAATTGAGAGAATAAGTATGCGCATTTTTCGCATCAAATTGTCCTGACCCCACTGGTCGAGAGTGAGCGATTCATTTTCTCATATTCTCTATACTCTTGTACCCCGGTGAGGACTTAGATTGCTCGGTCTCTATTCTGATATCTTGAGTTTTATGCATGAGTTGACTGTCTTGAGTAAGTGGTTGAGTCAAGTCTAGGTTGGTTGATGAACAGTAGGGAGACTCCTCCTTTACTCGATTTTGCTGCACTCGAATGTCTTCTGTGGTGGTTGTCCAGGTTGCTATTGAGGTTGTTCATGTGTTGATGTTTGAAAGCCAGTATGATTCACGTGTTTCTGTGCCTGTATGATTTGTCCCGAATGTTGGTATGGTTGAAATATGTAAGCTTACCTTGTGGATGACTTGGTTTGCTTGGGGACAAGCAAACGGTTAAGTGTGGGGGAGTTTGATAAGCCGTTACTTGCACATGTTTTTACCCCTATTCTGGAGCCGTTTGAGGTGTTGATTCTCGTGTTTTAGGCCGATTTCACGCTAGGTTGTGCTTGTTTGTGATATTTCAGGTCCTAGTAAGTGAATGAATGTTTAGGAGCGAGTTCGGGGTCGATTGGACGAAGATCGGACGTGAGGCGAGTCGCTGAGGAAGCCACACGGGCACACACAGAACCCACACGGCCGTGCAAGTGACCAATGTGGCCGTGTGGGATTGTGCGAGCCTTCACACGGGCACAAATAAATCTCACACGGCCGTGTGAAGGAGTAATTTGGCCGTGTGGAATTATGCGAGGCTTCACACGGGCAGGCTGGGCATTCCACACGGCCGTGTGCCCCTCGCCGTGTAGGAAGCCTGAAACCCACATAATCGGAACGCGGCGTTTTGAACTCACACGGGCAACTGGGTATGCCACACGGCCGTGTGGACTGCCCGTGTGAGTCGGGAATTTCTGGTTTTTACCTAATTTCGGGCCACAAGTGAGAGGATCGGATTTTCAGAGCAAAAACAGAGCCCTAGAGAGAGAAAGTACGAAGAACACATCCTAGAAGCTATCTTGGAGCTTTAAAACAACAATCACTTGACTTAGTTGGCTAGATAATAGATACTCACGGAGTAAGCAGTAGATCTAGACCCCGGGTTGATAATAGAACTTGCCACTTTACTGCATTCCCGGACTGCGATTACACTTAGTCGCAGTTTGGTGTTGTGTTTTAGCGTGTCACTAGACCATAGATTAATCACGTAACTAAACACTATATCATAATTCTCTAAATCCTAATATAGTGCATATGGTACGTTGTATACATCTTGGCGAATTAGAATCATTGATTATGTTCTTAGTATATGTGATGTTAGGGTTTAAGTTCTATAAATTTAGGGTATATGATTTAATTATTTAAAACTTAATCTCCCTTTTCAAATTTCCTGCAATGAGAGGGAAATTAGGAAGGACATTTTTGTCTTCAAACAAAGTGAAGGTTTAAAATCAATCAGCCTATGTAGATTTGTTGTATTTTTTAAATTAAAAATATATACGAAGCTAAAATATGAAACCACAGATCTTTTCAACAGTTAGCTAGCCCAATAAATATTCTGTAAGTACTTATTTGGTGTTTTGATACTTCGATTTTGATATATTTTATTTTAATTATAGTTTAATACTTAATTTAAAATTTTATATATCTTATAAATAGATGATAACAATAAATTTGCAACCAAAATATTGTTGGTTCGAATATTTCATATCGATTTATAGTATTGAATATGTAGAAGCGATATAGAATTCTTAAATTACCATTAATTTCCAGAACTATAGTGAAGCAATCATATCTTTGTGCAAACTATAGGGGACTGGTTCTCTTAACATTTTTGTCCGGTTAAATACTAAGTTTTCAAACTCTTCCTAGGGGTGTACGTGGGTCAGTTCGTTTGAGTTTAGATATTTTAATCACCTAACTCATATACCACGATTTTGAAAACACTAAATACAAACTCACCCAAATAATTTAGAATTTTAACGGTTTGTGTCCTCCATACCAAATGAACCAATTTACATGTTGCTTAACTAAGGACGATCTCATTGTCCAATCCCATCATTCTAATGTCAATCCATAAAAGTAACCCATATTCGTGTTTGTTAACACATGTTTCACATTGTCATTACTGTGACCGGTAACTTCGCTGCAATTGATTCGGTATTGCTCATCATATGGCCTCCAAACTCATAAACATATCGGGCCAACAATTTTATGACAAAACTCAAAGTGAAGACAACTCATCGTCTAGTGGAATTTTGGCACTTGCTGGTATCCATTAATCTAATTGCAAGCATAATGATTGCTAAAATTAAGCTTTCACGCAACACACTGGAGTTGGGGGTGTGAACTTGGAGTAAAAGATGATATTGGGTTTGGGAAAGGAAGTGCTGAGAGGAAGAAATTGTGTTTGGATTTGGTAGCAGGTAAAGTTCATGGTTCGGTTTCTTTTCGTAAACTGCTTTGCTTTATTTTAGTTAGAGGTATAATATCATGGTTATGTGGGATCAAATGAACCAAAAATGAGCTTGGGGGATGGGAATTCCAACTTAGAAGGAGTGGATTAGATTTTGATAAACTCAATTTCATGATTAGCTGAAATAATATTTAGATTTAGACTTTGTGGTATTGAGATATTCATAGATAGTTTAAAACTAATCCAAGGCCATGGACTGATATTGGTTAGTTGATTGTGATTTTGAGGAAGGTGTATAAAAAGTCATGGAAATAGTTTGCAGCAAGTTAAGGCAGTGAAGAGGCAGTTGGTCAGGGTAGTGATTGAACCAAGGAGGGTATTGAAAGACATAGAAGCAAAATCGGAGCAGTTGAAGAGAGAGAAGTGGTTGATGATCAGGATATTAATGAAAATGGAGAGGATATTGAAGGGCATGGAAGTGAACTAGATCAGGTGAAGGCAGAGAAGGAGGAGAAGAGCATATTGATGGAATTGAAGATGGGTGTTGGTTTTACGAGCTTATTAAAACTTCCCCAAGAAAGATGAGTTGGCCAAATACAAGAAAGACGATTGAGGAGTTGGAGATCAAGCTGACAAGAAACTCAATTGAAAGAGAAATTCAGGTTCATGGAGAGAAGGTCCATCAAAGTAGCATAAATGGAGTTGCAGAATGAGGATTATAAATTGAATTTTGGTTTAAAGCATATACGTCGAGTTGGGGTGGGCAAACGGTTCGGTAAACCCAAACCAAAACAAAAACCGAATTAAATCGAACCAAAACCGAAAGAATGCTATTCGGTTTGGAATTCAGAAGGAAAATATGGATAGTTCAGAAATCAGGGTTCTTTCAATCGAACCGAATTTCCGACCGAAAAACCGAAATACTATAATTGCAAGCTCCAAATGGTGGATTTTTATGTTTGTAGTTGTTTTTAGACTTAAATATTTGAAATATTTTATAACTTATGTGTTGAAAAGTTTGATTTTATCATTGATGATACATATAATTGATATTTATTGTTTATATTAGGGATGAAAAATAATTTAAAAGTGAGAAAATACAAGTAGCTTCACAAATTCGATTTTGTGTGAAAAACCGAACCGAATTATAATTCGCTTTAAACCGACCAAACCGAATTATAATTGAGTTCGAATTCGGTTTGAGGTTTGGGAGAATTCGGGGACCCGGTATTCATAATTTCGGTTCGGTCGAAACCGAATCGACCGAATGCCCACCCCTAACGTTGAGAGATTGAAGATGGAGGGGATAAAAAGTTAATTGTACAACGGAGAGTGGAAACTATTGGATCTTTAGGTGTTATGGTTGTTGCAACTACCACAACCTATGTTTATGTTAAAACGAGGAATCATTGATTGATTTGCTAAAGTTAAGGTCGATTCACTATTCAAACTACTGGAACCTGTAGAGAAGGAGTG